ATCAAGTCCCCCCTGGCACTGGCACCTCCTTCAATATCTTTGTGTCCGGGGTTTCTGATTTGGGCATCAATATCTGAATACGAAGAACGTCACACGTTAATTTGGGTAATTGTTTACTTTAGAGACTCGTCGATCTGGAGTCAGTCAAGTATACCGTTGGAAAGGGAATGTTAAGTAAAATCGGAAACGCTTAATAAAATATTGGCGCTCGAGTCTGGTTTTCCGGCAAATTAAAGAAATATGCGTCGCGGCTAACCTCCAGATGCACTTCGAAGACGACAGAATAACTTACGTTTACGGCTAGTCCTGACATTGATCGCTCCGGCTGGGTTTTTTTAAATCATAGCTCGTGCATCAAAGACTACGCCTGATTCAAAATATCCGGCTTTCTTTCTCTACCGTTGCTTAAATCACAGTTTTCACAGTTCTCCATCAATGCCTTCTGCTTGGCGTGGTCCTACCCAGAAAAGGGACCAAGTGCCGTCTCGTGCGAGGCGGCACCCTGCCACAGCGCGCCGAGAGCAGACTGCGGCGAGCGCACTACACTGCCTCCCGCCAGGCCGGCGGCACGGTTTCCCGCGCGCCGCTTGAACACACCGCCCGGCACTCGGACCCTTCCACTTGCATTTTCGCTATGAGGCAGGAAAACAAAACGTTATGATTTCGCCTTGCGGGGCTCGATAGCCCTCGGGCCGCGGTACATTTTGGCGCAGTCGGTTTTGGAAAATATGGAACGGTACTCGGGCCAGAGCGAAGTGTCCCCGAAACGAGTAGTTAGGCCCTATGTCCGGAGGGGGGTGGGGCGCGCGGTCGACACCATGTGCGATAGTAGGTAATACCCTAGGTAGTCACCACAAGTCGGGGCGCCCTCGCCGGCAGCGGCATCTCCGCTCAGCGCGCTCGAGAACATGGCGGCCGAGTTCGCGCCCAAACGGGTATTAAAATCAATCTCAATCAACCAAAACCTGAAGAGGACCCAAATACCAGTTTTTTGTATTGCTTGGGTACGGCGCAGTATGGTGATTCTACAACCGCGTACAACGAAGCAATGGAGCAAGAAGGCAGAGTGCCTCAAAAAACTATTGGGAACACCAGAAGCATTTGCCCGGTCTGTCACCGATTGGTCTTTTCATATAAGCTGTATGTTCATTACAACAAGGGATGTTACACATCAACAAACTGTAATGTTAACCTTCATGCAGGCATGTCCTGGTGCTACTTAAACCAGTACTTGGGAAGACCTGTCCTTGGTGCACCACTTATTGACGCCATTTTTGGGAGTTTAAGTGCTCCAGTTTTCTATTTGCTTATGAGTGTTCTGACATCATTTGGATTTGTTGTAGTGCAAGATTTTCAGAAAATGCCAGAAACCATCTCATTTTATATCTCAAAATTTTCTAAAATCAAAAAAGTTAAGTTCCTCAAGTTTTAATTTTGAGTATTCCTTGGTCAAAGTGCGGTATCCCGTCTTTCTGTTAATTATTAAAGTGCAATTTGTGTATATGAAGTAATTGGCTCTGATATATCTGGACCGCCTAATGGACGTGCTGAATCCCGTTGCTGGCCCGTGGAATTTTCCCTGTTCATTTTTAAAGTGACTTCGGGGAGGCTCGCATCAAAAACAAGCGCTCAGTCCCCCTGGTCCACGAACTCCTGCAGCGGCGGCGGACCTGAGCACAACATCCTGCACTACTCGACGGGCCGGGGGAGGCTCGCATCAAAAACAAGCGCTCAGTCCCCCTG